TAAAAACCGAGTTTGGAAACCGAGAATAGAATTAGATTCGGATCGAAATGGATGATTACGTTTCGGGCTGATTATCCCAGCCAGTTTGAAACTTCCAATGATAAAGAATTCAACTTGTTACTCGTTCTCTGGATAAATCGTTGTTGTTGTATGCCGTGAGATATACAATTTCGGAGAGAGACGTCTGGACGTGTGTCGACGCGATGAATCCATCGGGGGCACGAAGGAAAGTATCAATCGGTTGAGATTAGTCGACACACGATCGTGACAATCGTGACAACCGTTCGACGATGGATCACGATCGAGAATAGAAACGGAATCGAACGATCGTGACGACTCTCGATAATGTCGACGACCAATTCGAGACACTTTCTGCTGCTAGATACCGACCTGTCGATGGCCGTCGCGTATCATCGTGAGCATCCATGCCTGTTCGAATTGGTGACCCAAAAGAAATTGTTCCTGGAATGCCGCGTTAGACCAACGAACTGCAAGATCAAGTAGAATCGAAATTGATGCCGCAACTTCGTCAGGAGGTTTGAACTGTGGAGGCTTTTTTTGCAGTCCGGAGCTCGGTGAAAGTGTTCAGGATTATCTGAGAGGAGCGAATCGTGTTCAGATCACGGAGCCAGGAAGCTCAATTTTCACGTATTCTGTAAGTACACCACGATTTATTTTTTATTGTTGCAAAATGTGTTCGAAACACGGGTATCACCACAATCAATGAGATATTCCCCATATTTCGTCGTCGTCGTCTTCGAAATTGAGGAGAATCGGGAATCGCGTTCGGATTTTACGTCTGAGTTACGAATTACAAGATTAATAATAAATGGAAGGGTGGATTACTCGGAATCGAATGACTCGGCGCAATTAGCCAGATTTTGTAATTGGATGAAACGCGACGAATCTCTTCCATCCTGTTAGATAAATAAATGGATTAAACGCGTTTGAGTTGTCTTCTCTCGAGTAAGTACGATAAGCACGTTACAGAAAATATTTCTCTTGGAAACGTCACGTTGGTGCATCTATGCATTGCAACGGATGTTACCAAAAGAAAAAAATCGGTTGAAACGATAACATAAGTAAACATATATCCCGAGTGTATCCAGAGTAATCATCGTTCAATGAAAACCAATCAAAAATGGACCAAAAATTCAAAAATGGAGGAAAATCCGATACGCGAAACGCGTTTAACGCGCGGGTTAAACGATCCCCGATTCGAGAAAATAAGCGTCGGAGCGCGGTGGAGCGCGTCGGTCGAAGATCAAAGGCCAAGGCTTCTCGAATCATGCGTCTCGCGACACATGTAACACAATTATAACGGTATATACGAAAACACGACATATGTAAAACGCGACGACGAGGGCAGCCAATTCTCGGGGAAAGAAAACACCCTAACGTCCCTATATGCGAATCGTGACGCATTAATCGACGAGCGGCCGTACAAGTGGCACTGGAAATTAGCGAACAATTAGCTCGGCCGGCTTATGTTTTCTAAACAAGCGGTACCGATCGACGGCCCATTATTTCGAAGCATTCGTGCAACGCGCCTATCAAGCCTACCAACTTATATACCCACCTACCTACCTACCTACCTACGTACCTACCTATATAACGTGTACGCAACCTTTTACCTAAGTGGCTCCGGGGTTCGAGTGTGTCCGAAGTATCCGAGCAGTATTCGAGCGTGGTAGTACTTAGGCTTTTCGAGTATCACGGCTCGAAAAGAGGAACACGTTGGAGGGGCTCGGAGAAGGGGTCTTGTAGTGTTTCGTTGCGCTTAAAAGGAGGGGGTTTTACGGAGAGGGTTTCGCTGCAAGGCAGCTTTGGTGTTGCAGCCTCTTCAAACCTCGTGCAAACACTCGGGGACAGGGCGTTCGCCTGGTACGACGATTAATATCCCAATAAGGCCTCGTTCACATGGCTCACTCGACCAAGCTGCTTCGTTCTTTATTCATTGTATCGTAGCTCCTCCCGCGGGATAAACTGCCCGATACCGGCCCGCTTCCGTCACTTCTTCTTCTTTCTCCTCTTCCTCTCTCTCTTCTTCCTAACTTTTCTCGAGCTTTTCTTTCCACGATATAGGAGGGACGATATATAAGATATATATCCCGTGTCTTTTTCACGGCATGCGCCGTGAATATTCTCTTTTTTTATCGCGTCAAGGGATGAAAAAGGTGAAGAGAGGAAGGGGATGAAAATCATCCGTTTCAGCTTGGTTCGATTCGATTCGATCATGGTGAATCGATGGTTGAAATTTGAGCGAGAAATTTGGGCGGAGGGAATTTCGTGTGGTTCGCGTGAAATTTTAGTTGGGCGAGAGTGGTAACAGGCGCAGCTGACGAGCAAATTTTACAGCGGGCCGCGCGATTAGCATACCTATCATTCGCGTGTCATTTATTGGGCGAAAGCCCCGATGGCTGAAACGTGGCTATACATCGCCCGATAATTGTCGATCAGACCGCTGAGATGTGGCCGACGTATCTCTCCCGAATACAGAGATATCATTTTATTAGCCGATCCCTTTTAATCGTTGAACGTCGTTGTTTTATCGACACAGATAAACGAGGCGAAAATTTCTCGTGACACCGCAGAGATGCGCTCGTTAATTAACGAGCAATGAAAGAGATTGGAAGGGATTGGAAATCGTGCGAGTTTCATTCGAATTATAAAATATCGCCTCGTAAATCAATATGGGTATCATCGCTCTTCTAATTGACTTGTTTTTCATTTCGTTTCGTCAACGAGTTCCTTCCTCGGCCTACTTTTTTTTTTTNTTTTTTTTTTTTTTTTAAGAATGAAAATTCATATTAGGAGAGGGGAGGAAGAGAGGAGGAAGCGAATTACAGCCGATATATTTTCGCTTCGTAAATATTTGAAATAAGAAGAGATGGATGTAAGACGGGGTGAAGATACTCGAATCCGAGGGAACCCATGCATTTTCCTCCTTCTTTTTTTTTTTTTTTTTTTTTCCATTTTATTTTCCCCCGCTCTGGATGTTGGAGCATTATTACGCTACTTGATTTCGCATCGTGCCAGCTGTCTCCGATTATTCGCCATAGAAATTTTAAGGGATTCGAGTTCAAAGGGGACCCCGCGGTCCTCCGCTAATATTTGAGGAGGCTCCGTGCAACCCTGGGTCTTACCGGACCCAGTTAAGCTCTAGCTTCTGTTGTGTACTTCTCGACCTTCTTCTTCTTCGCCTCCTCTTCGCCTTTTACTCCGCGTTACGAATTTCTCCAACATCATCTTCATCCCGCGTATCGATCCGCGTGATCCCTCGTCATTTCGCCTCGCGATTATTTTTTTAAAAAAACGAATCGTCGCCAACTTCGAAAATTCGTCTGTTGAGAACATTAAAATTCTCGTTATACTGCTCAAAAAAATAAATCTTCCATCGCAACGCGATGAAAGGTTGGAAGAACTCGATGGGTGGAACACGCGAGCAGGTATCCAAGTATTTTAACTATCCGAACAACAGGGGTTGGATCGTTTTCGAAGCGATTTCCACGAGCCAATTACCACCACTCTCCTTTCCCTCAAAACTTTCTAGTAAAGATAAATTCGTCGAAAATCGGCCCCCTTGATTCGTGTGAAATTTGTCGTACAAAAAAAGAAAAATTATTAACCCAACGAACGAATCTCCCACTTTGCGGAAAAATATTTCACGGATGCGCCAAAGCTTCTTCCCGTGGCAGGTTCCGTTTTAAACGATCCACGACGAGTCGAGGAGTGAGAGAGAAGAGAGAGAGAGAGAGAGACCACCCCTTCCGCCTATTCTCCCTTCTCCACTCTCTCCCCCATGGGGCCCGTCTCGCGCCAAGAATCAGCGATAGTTAGCCAGATAGGCAGCTCGTTGCGTTACAGGGTTTGCACCGTGGATGTCGGTTATATTGCACACTTTCGCGCGTCTTCGTATCTCTTTTCCTCCGTGTATCGTGCGCGTGAACACCGTATCTACCATTTCGAGATACGCGTGTAAGTGTGCCACACGTTAGTCACTGCACGCGCACCACCACCAACGCGCACGCCTACGTACGTGCAAGACGTTATCTACCCTCCCCAAGGTACATCGTAGGTACATCGTAGGGGTGTCTCTGTGCACGGCGATACGTGTGTGGCGCGTCGAGGTCGAGGATGGGGCTAAAGGTGGTTGGTATCTTGTTGGAGGGCGAGAAATACGAGCCGGCCACGAACCTCTTGCAGAGGCTTGCGTGCACACCGATCGAGCCCCGCGCACGGAGAAAGATAGAGAGAGGGTTAGAGGGGAGGGATAGGAGCGAGGCGAGGGGGGGAGGGAGGAGGAGGAGGTTCGCCCCGCCTGTTCGCACCCCCTTTTCGCTGTGCTCTTTAAAAAATTAGCTGCTCGATGCGAGCGCTGCCCGACACCGCGACTCGCGGCTTTTTATCTCGTTGCTTTCTCTGCGATTCTCTATTTTCTTCCACCGTGGTGGTAATTTACGCGCGATTAAACGATCGGGGAATTTGTATAATTGCTGCCTATAAAGACGAGTTGCCTTCATCTTATGTATTAATCTCTCTCTTTCTTTTTCTCTTGTGGAATGCGGATAGTTTCGTCACAGTTGGTAGAGGGGAGAGAAATTGGAAAGAGTTTAGAGATCGACGATCGATATATATATATATAAAAGAAAGAAAAACGAAATTTCGAATTCTTTTTCCTTTCGAGAAAGATATGTTTTTTTTGGCCGGTAAAGTTGATCGAAGGAAGAACGAGAGAGAGTTCTTCGTTCCAGCATTTTTCCGTCGATTCCTTTTTTCTTTTTTTTTTTTTCCTTTTAATTGGTGCACGTGCAAGGGTACGTCAAAGGGTGCGCACGAACGTGTGCGATTGGCGTTACGAAACGGGCGCGCAGCACCGCAATAAATCAAGATAAAGTTATGATAAACAAATTAGTCGGCCCTGCCGCCCCTCACCGGTGTTATTGTCTATCGTATATCTACCTACAAATTACCAGCCGTCCCGAACACCTCGGGGTAACTGCTACTCGCAAGTCCCGTGCCCGGTTTTGTAGTGGTCACACACGTACGGGGTTGAAGGAAATTCGAGGGGTAACTCGAAATTAATGCACCACTTCCTCTCCCGACGTAACCTCCAATTGCAGTGTACCCCGGCGTGCCCTTTATTTATTCGATGAGTCCTAGCCTCGATTTTCGATAACTCGTTTCAAAGAAAAGATAGACCTTTTTCCCAACGATATTTTTTTTTTTTTCAATCGGCTCGAATAAAATTCTCCAGTCGATTCGAAATTCCACGAAATTCGTTTCGATTTCGTTGATCGTGCTCGCAAATTGTACTCGATATTTCTCTCGTTTCTCTTTCTTTCTTTTTCTTTTTTTTTTTTTGTTTTTTCTTGTTAATTCTCTATCGAAACCACACTAGCTACTACAAAACGTAACGTAATCACGAGGGCCTCCGTGCCTCGTTATTTCTCCGTGATTTCGAGTGGAATTGGAATCGACGATTTTTTTCTGGGGGAGAAAAAATTCCGGAATTTAATCGGTTCACCAATTGCGCCGCACAATGGCGTGTATTCGAAAGAGCGCGTGGTTTCGAAAAAGAGCTACAGTGAACTGCAGTGGGCGGCTAATCTATGCAAAATTAATCAATAGCTCCATTTGATCGTTTAGCAAACGATCCGAAACGTCGAATTTCCCAGGGACATCGCTCGCCGAGCACTGATCGAGCAACTTCTATGACCAATGTCTTCCCCGGAACGGTTTTAATTGGCCGACGGATATTTCCTGTCCCGTCCCATTATCCAAGGTTCGTTGGTATCGAGGAAGGAAAGGTGCGACGTAGTCCAGTCTTTTACACCAGATCAAAGATATCTCGTATTTCTCGTCCCCCGCTGTTCCATCTCGAAACGAACGATGACATTAATTTGATCGTCGCCGTCGTTCGCAACGCAGAGTCAGACTTTATAGTGAAAATATACGAGTAATATACGGGCAGGTGATGCGACGACTCTCGAGGATCGTCACGTGCCGTTTTGCCTTAGGTAAAATCCTCGTAAAATATTGTCTGAATCCCGTTGCCTTGGTATTTTTTTCTTACCGTAAAAATTATTTCGAACGGAGAAGAAGAAGGAGGAAGAAGAAAAAAGAAAGGGGAAAAAGTGGTCGTTCGTTTCGAACCTCGGTTTGATTTGAGATCGAAAGAAGGGAAAAGTATCGTGGCCATCCACGGATGGAAACTCGTTGGCCGGAACGGTGCAATGTGGCCGGGCATTTCCATAAATGCGCTCCAGCGCGCAGAGGAAAGAGGTAAATCGCGTCGAAAAATGTGTATCAGGATTATTTATCAAGTGTGGTAAAAATAATCGCAAAGAAAGAAGTTTGCGCGGAGGGAAGAAGTAGCGTAAAAACTATTTACTTATTTACTTACTTACTTACTTACTTACTTACTTACTTACTTACTTACTTACTTACTCACTCACTCACTCACTCACTTCGCGCGGTTTTCATTTTAATTAGAGAATACGAATCGTAGAAAAGGGGAAAAGATCCGGTATATATCGTTTGATTATCGCATTGATAGAGATATTTCTAACATATTTTATTGCGGAAAGAGAGAAAACTGAAAGAATTATGAGTTCCTCCGGCGAGTAGGTAAGAAAATTTGTGCGTCAGTTTGCAATTTTAATCTTGAAATTTTATCATCATCATATCCGGATGTCTCATCCTTGTTAATAATAATGATAATAATAATAATAATAATAATAATAAAAAATTGGCGAAGGAAATCCGCGGGGAAGATTATTTCTCCATCGTTGTCGTTAATCGGACAAAAGTAGATAAGATGACAGGTAAGGTAGATTCGTGTTTCCACGGGAGACACGGGAAAATAATAAATTCTCATTTATAGGTGTTAACGTGATGTTGCATGGAGGGCACCGGAGGAGTGTCCAGTCACGCTATGGAAATTATGACGTATTACACGATTGCCTTTTCAACGTCGCACGCGGGTTACCCGTGCCGTGACTAATAAGCAGATGTAATGCAATTTAACACGCATCGTATTAACGACTGTTCAAGTTACGATGCTTTTCATCGATCGCATTTCATCCTTTCTCCTTCCTGTTTATATCCCCGCCCCATCGATCCGCAAGAAAAATCTTATCAATTTATTATTATTCGCTCGAAATTTTCACACCCTTCTCAGTCCCTAAGGGCTGGATTGTTTCGCAGTCGAGAAGCTACTTTCGAGGCCGATGCATATTACGATCGGATGCCTGATTACTCGGCTCGGATAATTATCTCGATTACTTTAATTAAATCGAGCCATTTTTTTGAATGAACGTTCGCGTCTGTGTCTGTCTCGCGACGCATATGCATATGCATGCAACAGACCTCCGTGTCACCAATTTGCTATTTTAATTTTTACGCGCGCCTCCATTAACCGATGACCTTGTTCACGCGACGTATGCGTGCGTATCTCGCTCCGATTAAACTGAATTTATCCGCCGTATATTTTTCACCAGCCACTGTTCTATCTCGTTGAAAAATATTTTTTAAAAACACTTCTTCGTTTCTTCCACGATAAAGTTTCGTTCCACGATCGCGGAGGAACGAGTGGCCTATTACGAGTAAGCTGGATCGTAACGGAAGTTTATGGACACCGGAAGTTCATGCTTATTCACCGAGCACCGAAAGGGCGACCGGGTATAATTTACGTATAAATTAAACCGAATGAATCAACGGCAGACGATTAATCGCAATGGCTTGCCCGTGATAATAACAATGCCAGCCTTGTTTACGACCGGTAAACGAATATATTAGCTTTTTCATTATGCCGCCACGTGGACACGACCGTGTCTATCGTGTGTCTACCTCGCGCTCGCGATATCCTGCCCTCTCCTCTCCTCCTACAAATAATCGCCTTTTTTGCTTTCGCCCTCCTCCATTTCGTTCGCGAAATATACACGAAATATACCGTGTATCTCCATGGAATGGCTGCTAAAACGAAGGAAAGAAGGAACGATCAGCAGGCACCGTTGTCACACCGTCTCACCCGAAAAATCTTGAAAAATTCTTGGAAAACGATGAAAAGAATTGGGAATACGATTGCGATTCTCACGATTCACGATCATCGTGGGCACGCAGGGAGGAAACAAGGGAGGAAAAACCGACGAGCGGGGGATCGAGGGTGGATCGTACGAGGTAAACAGGCCGTGAAATTACCTTTTAAATATTAGATTATGATTAAATGTGTACCTACCTCGAAGGCACTAAATGTTCACCACCGGCCCCCGCCACCGCGCCCACGTTCATAAAGCCGACGATGGGGGTGGTTTATGGTGGATGAGAACTCGAACCTATCCACCTTCCTCTCCACGAGGCTATATCGCGATATCAATCAAGCTCTCGGCATCAGATAAGATTCGCTGCTCAGGAACTGAGTGCTTTTCAAAACGTGGATGAGATCTTTTTTTTTTCTTTCGTATCCTCCTCGACCATCAGTTGCCGGAGATCAGAGGGTGAATCCGTGAAGCGCGCCCTATGCAAAATATGGCGACTGATCATTTTTTCTCAACCAAACGATCGTCTCGTTCATTCACTCTCGAATCAACTTTTTCGATTCGAAAAATCTCCTGCCTCGACCAGCTTTTTTTTTTTTTTTTATAATGAAACCAAGAAAGCAAAGAAGGGGAAAGAAAGGAGGAAGGAAGGAAGGAAGGAAGGAAGGAAAGAAGAATTTACATAAGTACCAATCGACAAGGGACGAGGTTCAATTACGGATTGCGTTATAATCGTCATCGGGTGAGAGATAACGCGACAATGTCCAACCAATGTTTCTCTCGAACGTGTACGTGTAGGCTAATTGTACGTCGTTAATTCACCCGTGCATCATAAACGTTCGCGGCAGCACCTTTGCCAATAAATACAAACCAACCTCCCCCGTTAGAATTTAAAGGGCCCTTCACACGAAGACCGGGACCTATGGGCGAGCATGATGATGGCCAGGCAGGTGTTTGTATCCGGCCGCATGCGTGTGCATACATATGCATACATATGCATACGTAAAAAAAAGATAGCCGGTGGGCATTCTACGCCCACGCTCTCCTCTCTCCTCCCCCGCTCCCCCGTTCCACACCGCCGCTCGTCGAAAACCTTCAGTCGCCATAAGCATATGCATTGCTCACTTAGCAAGATTGATATAACCCGATATATATCTGTGGTATATACCGGCCGATAAACGGGCACGGAGAGGTTGGATCGTTCGTTCGTTCGCTCGTTCGTGTGCGTACCGTGGGTGTACGCGTGGGTGAATCCGTGTGTTCGAGCGTGCGTGTGCATCCGCAATTACGCGCAAGACGGAATACAACGGAAGGATAATTAATGCAAACGAGGTCGAGCCGGGGAAATTTCGGTTCGACGAAGGTACCCGCTGCGAAGGTGAGAAGTGGAATGCTCGCTCGAGAGAGAAAGAAAGGGGAGGAGGGAGAGGAAGGGAGAGGGGAGAAAGAAACGTATAAAGAAAATATTTACGGGGCCAGGCACGGGCTCATAATGCTCGCCCTCGAGATAAGGGAATTATTCGCGGACAAGTTGGTACGGGCATGTTAAGGAGACGATATCGATCTCGACCGGACGGTTCTCGCGGAGAAATATCCTTTATCGTTGTTGTTGCTGCCTGTCGCTTCGACTTCGTGATTCTCTATCTGGGAGAGTAAATGCGGCATGTGCATCTGTTAAAAATGTAAAATGGGTTTTTATTCGAGACCTTTCTTATTGTCTTTCGCCTTGGGCCTTTCCCCTCCCCTCCCCTTTTTTCATGTACGCTTATTTCGCGCGAATCAACGAGATTTCGCGGTGTTTCGATGGAACTTATTTTTCGTAATTTAATTTCGAAAGAAATAAGAGGAGGCGAGGTATCGAGATTCGTGGAATTACGAGTTAATAAATAGAGGAAGTAGAAATGAAGGATGGACGAAAGGATATATCGCGATATAAATTTTCTTTATCTGGAGAGAGCGGTGTACTTTATGACGTTTCCCCGGTATATATACTGGCCAACAACAAGTAGCTTTCACTCGAATCCCTCGAATGTCAGCGTCCCGTTTAACGGCAATGAGAACTTGCAAGTCTCCGGGGAGAGTTTGCCGACTAAAACCAACCCCTACCGACGATTCGAGGGGTTGCGCCACAATACAAGCAATAACACGTACCGCCCTCCCTCTTCCCCTCTTCTTACAACGTCGTCCCCGTTGCACGCACCCTCTCTTACCTTAATCGACGAAGGATGATTTGGTCTTAAATAAACTTCTCACCTCCATCGACGTAGACCGCATCCCCTTCCGCGACCCTACCAACCGTTTATCACATAAATCGCCGAGTGGTCACTTTGATTATAGAGGCCTTACCGCCCCCTACTTTTTTCTTTTCTTCCCCTTTATTCGATTCCTCCTCCTCTTCCTCCTCCTCCTGCTCGCAAATTTCAAATCAATCGAATTCGACTCGACGGAATCGAAGGAAGGAAGGAAGGAAGGAAGGATTCTCGATCTCGATTGGCCTCCAACTTCTCCAACTTCCTTATTCCTATTTTAATCGTTATATTGTATAAGTTTTAGAATTGAAGAATTTCCTCTCTCGGAAGAAGAGAGGAACGAAATAACTAGGAGTTCAAAGAATTCAAAACTACACGTGTAAAAGACACGTGTAAAATCGATGGATGCAGTTGTCCATCAAATTAATCCATCAAAAGTGATTAATTCGCGATGGGATTAAAAAACGGTCTGGAATTCCGTGCGCGCACCTTTGCGGCTGGGCATAGCCAAGACGGGGCATAAAAGCGAACAAAGGATCGATCGAAAGAGGAGCGTTGCGGTACGAGGCGAGACGGTATTATTCATCGACGAGCGGAAACGCTTGGAAGGTAGTAGACATCCGGCCACGTGTCCTTAGCCGGCCGATGGACCAATGAGATTCGAGGCAGAGAGGAAGGTGACCAATCGAGGCGAAGGTCCAGACGAAACAGCGACGGCACGCGCCAGGACGCGATGGAATTATTCAAATGGAATTCACGAAACGAGGCAGCTGTTGGATCAAAATTGGGGGAGTGGGTCGTATGTACACGACGATACTTTTTCTGCGTGCTACGCCTCTTTCTCCTTTCTCACTTCGTCTCACCTCCATCGTCGTCTGTTGTCCTCTTCTATTATATATTATATATTTTTATTATAGATTACTCACGTAACGTAGATTTTTTTTTTTATCATCCTCTCCTTCGAACGATCGTCTTTTATTCTTCGAAATTTTCCAAACATCGTATACGCTTTCTTATCGCGAGTTTAAAATTCTCGACCCTCGATCGATTACAGACAGGGAATATCTCGATTGGTTTTCGACCACGCGATGGAAAAGCACTTTTCATTTCGGCGAGATCGTTCCCCTTTCCAGAAGAGAAGAAAAGCCAAGGATCGTTTCGCGAGCAAATATAACAGACCGTTCGATGCTGCGTGTCTTTTCCAATTTTTCTGAGTAAACCGCGAGGGTTTCCCCCCTCCCCCCCCTTACCTTCCTTCCTTCCTTCCGTATTTG